TATATAATTTCTAACATCCATAAGCCAAGCCAGGATATTCTCAACCCACTAGTGTTTCTGAAATAATCCACATGACCCACACACTCTAAATTTCACATAAGTGGCCTAATTGAGAAAAGAATCTTTGACCCATCTCTCCTGACCTTTAACTCCTACACAAAGCAGCAGTTTCTAGTACATGCAGCTGACACTTCCAGCACAGGAAACCTGCCCATTCTTACCTCCTGTGTAGAGAAAGGAGCCAGACAGGCCTCCAAAGTAGATAAGAGCCAAGTGCTCCAGTTTCAGAGGGGACAGGTAGTAGAGGCAAGCCGCACAGACACAGCCCAAAGTGTACAGGAACACTCCGAACCGCACAACATCCTGGGGCTCCAAGATTCGGTCCACCAGGGTCCTGTCATCACTCTTTTTGTGGTCAATGCCCTTGGAAAAGTCATAATAAGTGTTGACCAAATTGCCAGCCCCGTGCACAGCCAGGACCGCCACGGCACAACCCACCAACAGCCTGGGATCCAGGACGCCCTGGGATCTGTAGGCCAGGGCACTGCCCAGGGCCACCGGGGTGAGGGAGGCACTGAAGCTCCAGGGCCGCAAGGCCAGCACGTAGGAGGCGCACTTCTGCCTCCAGGAACGCTGGAGGGGCCTGTCCCGCTCCGGACAGTCGTTCCCTAGCAGGTCCCTGTCCCCCGCCTTGGCCGTCTCTCCCGTCCGGATGTTAATCTTCTCCCCTGGAACTTGCGAGGCCGCCATGGAGGATGCACGTGGCTGATCTCAAATGTTAATAGTGAGCCACGCACAGAACAGCGATTGTCGTGGGACGAGAAGGGGCGGGGTGGGACGGCCAGACCTGACCTTCCTTCGGTTCCGCCCCGGGGCAGGGCTGGGGAGGCGGCGGGGCCCCGGGGCAGCAGCGAACGGGCCTGGCAACCCACGAGGCCGGATGGCACCGCTCGAGCCTCCTGTCACCTGGGCAAAGCCTGTCTCCTGACCCCAACCCCGCGCTAGAGCCCACAGCTGAAAAGCAAACACCTCCTCGTACACCTCCTCGGGACTCCCGGGACCGCCATCTTGTGCGCTCGCTTCTGGAGGCCGGCCTGGAAACAGAGGCTGGCCGCGCGGGCCNTTCACCTTCATAAACTTCATCACCGTTCTCATTACTTTAGCTCTGTCTTTCCCAAAAAATCCTAGGGCAGGGCCTGTGTCTGGCTTGTTCACAGCTCCCTACCCAACGCTTGGCACAAAGGCTGAACCAAACACAGAGCTACAGTAACAAGCACCTGGAATTTGGGTCCCACTCAGAGTAAAGCACTACGGAATGGTGAGAGGTCATCCACACATTTACTGCTACAGAAGCTTGGGAAACCTCCAGGCCAAGGCACAGATGGCCTCAGGGTCAGAAAATAAGGAAAACTATTGGTAATCAAGTGCATTTTAACCAGCCAAAAATGATAAGGGACAATGGTCTGTAGAGGATCTAAAGCCATGGCAGCCAAATAGCAAGACTCAGCTTTTTTTTTTTTTACCCTCACACTAGTACTGGAGTTCTTTGATTTTTGTTTCCCCCTCCCCCTGGCTTTACTGAGCTATAATTAACATATAACATTGTGTAGCTTAAGGTGTACCGCGTGTTGATCTGATACATTTATGAACTGCAGAATGACTACCACCATGCGCAGGTAACCCCTCCATCTAGTTGGGGTTCTTTGGTGCCAAACATCACCCTTGGTTCTTTAGAATGAAGCGTCCTCAGTCAAGTGTATCACAGGCATGGCCCCTGAGACCCACCAGCAAGCAGCTAGCTAATTCTGTATTCCCCAAGCCGTGTTTCCATAAAGAATTTGGGGGTCTGAGGAGACGGCCTCCAGGAGCAGGTTCTCTCAAGCAGAACATCAGCTCCAATTCTAAATTAGTAAATCGATGTCTCTTGTAATATGTCACATGTTTAGGGGACTACTATAGTTCCCCCCCTTATCCTAATCCAAGACCCCAAGTGGATGCCTGAAACCACAGATAGTCCCAAACCGTATATACACTATGTTTCTTCCTGTATATACTGTACATACCGTTTCACTTAAAGGAAGCACTTCTCTTTGACATATCCTAATTGCCAACATCACAACTCATGCTTTTGGGCCAGTATTACGTGAAATAAGGGCTACCTGAACACAAGCGCTGCAATACCGCACAGTAGATCTGATGACCAAGGTAGCTACCAAGTGACTGACAGGCGGGGGGCATATACAGCATGGATACATTGGACAAGGGGATGATTTACATCCAGGGTGGGACAGAGCTGACAGCACGAGATTTCATCACACTACTCAGAACAGCACGGAATTTAAGACTAATGAATTGCTTATTTCTGGAATTTTCTATTTAATATTTTTGGACCACAGGACACTGTAACTATACAGAGAAAAACTGCAGATAAGGGGGGACTGCTGTACCCCTGCCCAAGGAATGCGGTACAGAAATACTCCCAGCACAGATCCACCAAGTTTCCCTATCAGCTGCCTGCTTTTCTTCTGTTTATGTTCTCAGCTCTCCAAGCAGGCTTAAGGGCTCTGGCTATGCAAGAAAACACAACAGCCCTAAAGCCATCACCTCTGGCTAAACCCCCAAGAAACCTTAGATCACCTGGCAAAAAACGGTGTGAGCAATGTTGAACAGAAATCTGTGCAAAGGTCATCTTTGAACAGGTACCCCACAAAAACCAACCACATACCCCTCTAGGGATGAGAAAGGTCTGGCAACCTCCTAGATGTTATCTGACACAAGGAAGTGCTAGAGCCCTTGGGAGAAAGCTCGGTCCTGACTGCCGGACACGTGCTCCACCTGATTCACAGAGGCGGCCCGCCTGGGAGTTTCCCACCCATCCCAACACCATTTTCCAAATGAGNCTCTTTCCTCATTGGCTGTTCTGCATTTGGCGGAGTGGTGGGCCTTTATCCTAATCTGCTGGCACATCCTCACTGCTTTTCAAGGCTCATCCCTGAAAAAGGCCAGTTTGATGGGCTAAGATTGCAGGCTGTGAGTCTGTGTTTTAAGAGAGAGAATTTGGGCATGCATGTGGTGGGGATCAGAGACATCAGTGGGATTCTTTTCAGCCAGCTCCCTCTTTAAGAGGTAGCACCACGAGGAGGGAGCAAGGTACAGGGGAGGTACACACACTTGGACCCTTGTTCGAGTCTTGGCTTTGCCACTTCCAAACTAACTCGACCTTTATAGTTTTTTTCCACGTCAAATGAAAATAATAGCAAGATTAGGTATTAAACAGGATTTTTCGTTCACTCGGTAAGTGTTTATTGAATCCTTGCTGTACTCCAGGCACAGTTTTAAGCTGTCAGTCGAGCAGTATACAAAACACATAACACGTCTGCCCTTCCAGAGCTTATGTTCTAACATTACAAGGCTTCTGTGGAAACGCCCTAGGATAATGAACACTGAGATGTTTGATCAATGTTCCTTTCCTTCCTAGAGCCCTAGAATTTCCTAGTTGGCAGAGTGGGCAAGTCTGCTCTTTCCCTAATGTACATAGGCTCTAGGAAACCGGAGACTGTATTCCTGAGAGAACAAAACTGTGATACAGATGAAAGTTCTCTGTATGCCTTTTGCTCCTAGGTTCTGGTTCTCCGCGAGCTGGCCATCAGCGTCCCCACCTTCTTCTTCCAGCAAGTGCAACCCTTCTTTGACAACATTTTTGTGGCCGTATGGGACCCCAAACAGGCCATCCGTGAGGGAGCAGTAGCTGCCCTTCGTGCCTGTCTGATCCTCACCACCCAGCGGGAGCCGAAGGAGATGCAGAAGCCTCAGTGGTACAGGGTGAGGAGATGGCTCCATCCCAGCCACCAGCCAAGCACATTTACACAGAGTATCACTGGGCCCCTTGCTACAGAGCAAGTGTCACATTCGTTTTGGTCTCAAATGATATTTTAAGCTCAGTATAAGTCAACAGTTATTACATTTCACTAAAGCAAAGATCCATTGATAGCCGCACCCTTATTTTATGTATCACTAAGAATGAAAATGTGAGGCCAATTAAACTGTGACTCAATGCCTTCTTATCAACAATTATAAGATACCTCTTTTTGGAGATGTTAAAACATGGAGAAATGGGTATCTCACCATTGATGAAATATGGTTGATGCTAATTTGGAAAGTGCCAGTTCTCCTCCTCTGGTGTCTTGAGTCCTATGCTGATTGTTGCTGCCAAGAGAACGTAGAAGCTTTGTACTGCAAACATAAGGGTCCTGAACGTGGGCTTGGAGCCTGGGTTCTAGCCTTGACTTTGCTCTGTGACCGGAGACAAGTCACGTAATTGCTTTGAGCCTCTTTTTTTTTTCCTATAAAATAGGGATGGCAACGGTATCTGCCTCATGGTATTGTGAGAGTTGAAGCTAAATTAAACGATAGAGGTTGATGAGTTAGTGTTGTCGATAATACTGGTAGAGGCGCTGAGCAGGCATGGTAACACCTCAGAACCCCCGTATAGATGGGGTGGGCCCGCGTTCTGTCTAACTTTGGACATTGGGTAATTAAGGCATTCTGTACCTCTCCTTAGCACACATTTGAGGAAGCAGAGAAAGGGTTTGATGAGACCTTGGCCAAGGAGAAGGGCATGAATCGGGATGACCGGATCCATGGAGCTTTGCTGATCCTCAACGAGCTGGTCCGCATCAGCAGCATGGAGGGAGAGGTGAGACGCCACGGCCAAGGGACGGCCAGGCTCATCATATGCCGTTCTGTGAGCAAGACAAGGCGAGATCCTTGTCCTCGTAGAGCTGACATTGTGTAGGAGACACAGGCAATACATAGATAACAAGATAATTTTTGCTAGCAAGAAGTTCTAAGAAGAAATGGGATGAAAGGTAGTGGGGGTTGCGGGGGGTGCGACAGGGGGTCAGGGAAGGCCCTTCTTGAGTTGGTGCCATTTGAGCTGAGACCCGAATGACTTGGAGGAGCCAGTCTTGCAGCAGCAGCGAGGTTATGTTTCGGGCAAAGGCTTTGAGGTGGGAGAGGATTTGACAAGTTCCAGGAACAAAAAGAAGGGAAGTGTGGCTGGTGCACCCTGAGCAAGGGAGGGAGGCACCAAATTAGTATGCCTCACAGTTCTTAGTAAACGCTGGCTTCTATTCTCCTCACGCGCAAACATTGGAGATGTGTATACGGGGAACGCTGTGATGTCATCCATGTTTAATGATGGATTGGCTGCTTATGGGGAAAAGCTTGTGGAAAGGCAGGAATGAAAACAGGGAGACCAGTTAGGAGGGGGGTTAGCTTAAGAAGCAGCTCCAAAGATGGGTTTAAAAGCACAAGCATTTTATTAGGGAAATAGCCTGTGAGAGAAAATGGGGTGAGAGAAAATGGGGAGAACCATCAGACCTCCGTGCACATCTGACCCTGAGTGAACAAGAGGGAAGCAGAGTGGGATGGAAGCATCTAGTCTGCCATCAAAGCCGTCATGGGGTCCTCAGGCCAAAGGTGGCCGTCAGAGGAGGCCTGCCTTAGCATTCCTACTGTCACTGGCTAAGAGCAGCCCATAGTCTGGCCTTGGCACAGACACGGTGATACATTTCAGAGTAGCAGCTAGGGCTCTTATGGTTGGAGGTCACATTCCCGCAGCTGCCACAGGAGGCTATTACAGTAGTCTGGGAAAGCCACGGTGGTGGCCTCAGCTAGCATTGGCAGTGCAGACACTGAGATGTAGTGGGAGCCAGGATATGTTTGGGAGGTAGAGCTCCATCTGTGAGTCTTCCTGTGGGGCGCTGGCCGGTGTGAAATTTCACCCCAGGGCTTCCTGTTTTAACTAGACAGTGATTGTTTGGTAGTGGCTGTGCCCTAGAAGTGGGGCAGCACGTGCTGCCATATATATAGAAACAGACTGATCTGGTTTGGAATCTCATCTCTCTATACTGTGTGTCTTAGGCAAATTACCTTCGTTATCCTTTAGCCTCATTTTTCTCACTTGTAACAGGGGTCTTCCCTACTTCATTGGGCTCCTGTGAGGTTTCTAAACATGTGCAGTGCCCAGCACAACACCTGATACGCAGCAGGAATTCCATAAGTGGTAGTGCTCAGAGACTTCCCCACCCAAGTGTAACATGGTGCTTCGC